GTATTTACCACTCTGCTTTAAATAGTTAATCGAGCTTAAGTTTTGGTTTACTGTTGTGTTCGACATTAAAGTAATCGTCCATAAACAATGAAAATACGATAATGGCATAACAGGTATTTAAAACAGGCGCAAACTTCTTTTTGCGGGAAATTTAGTTTGTAAGAATGTGCACTAAAATTTGCTAATGCAGATCGTCACCCGCTCGTTGAAACGTGCCTAGCAGGCCTCTGAAATTGCCGTAGAAACGGGTACTGGTCGCTCTGAGTCGCGTGGAGGTCACTCGCTGCCGATCACAGAGATAGAACACGTCGCATGCAAATTTCAAGGCTTCAGCCTCTCGATATTTACGTTGGCATAGGCTCGTCATTCAAAGTCGTTTTTTCGCCTTTAGATTTTTAAGACGTTAATGTCCCCGTTTCTAATAGCTTCTTGGCATAGTTTTACTTGTCTGTGCTTCGTTTTATTTAATTACGATGTTAGTAACTCTAGTAAGAGCCACGGTTATCTAGCGGTTAGAACGCTGGCCTTGTAATCCTGGGGTCTCGGGTTCGATTCCCGGCGGTGCCCGAATTTATAACTTGTGTTGGGCAAGGCCGTGGTCTAGGCAACACGGAGTTTTCCTCTGGGGGCTTCCCCGGTTTCTCCGTGGCATCCCATTCACACACAGAAGAAGGCAATGGCAAACCACTTCTGGATCATTTGCCAAGAACGTATATGAACAGGTCCCAGTCCGAGAAAAGGATGGAAGGATCCGGTTCATATGGACCTGTCGTCAGACACACAACCACACACCAAAAAAAAGTAACTATTTTGCGTCAGATGATGGGTTCATTAATGTATTAGATAGGATGTGGAAGAATGTGGTATTGGCTTTACTTAATTTACTATATTGGAATTTGCCTGGAGGAACTGAGGAAAACCACGAAAGTCCCCAGTTCGTTTAGCCTATTTCCCGGTACCTTTACGAAGGCTTTGCTTCGAGCCTGTGTTAACGATAGTAGTCCGTGTAGTGCTTATTAGCTTCTTTATCTCAAATTATATTCTGACAGTGTACGCTAAGTGGTCGCAAAATGAAGAGATGAGGTCTCTTTTCCTGTTCGCTTGTTTATCTAGTGGCTACGTACCTGTTGTTAATGAGGTCCCATAAGCGCCCACTGGGGTATTTGCGATTTATATAAGAAAGCTTTTCAACTCTTCGATAAGAGCCTGGAAAATACTGGATCATACAAAATCTCACTGTTACTGTAAACACTGAGTCATTCAGAATTATGCAGGTTTGATAGAAGTTAAAATGACTTCAAGTGACGGCGAGAAAATTTTTTATCTAGAAGTAAACGAGACTGAATTTATTCATGTTTCGTTAATGGACTGTACGACAAAATCATTATATGAAGGCAGATAACAAATCCTTCGGAAAGTCGTTCTTATTTGAATGCCTAAGACACTGATCTAATTAACTGGATAAAGGCCCTAAGGTTTTCTGAATGCGAACGTGTGCGTTTGACGCATCGAATGTCATTGATTTATTCAGCTTATCGCATCATTTAAATTGATTAACTGCGCCTTTTAATACTTGGATTGGTTATGGTTTGACCAAGTGAAATACCTGTTTTAATTTTATGCTTAAGTAGTTAACTAGCAAATATGATACAAAGGATGTGGTAACCACAAGTTGTTGTCTTTTATGGATAGATTTCCCTTATGCTTTTCATGTTGTGGAATTACCTCATCGCTACACGTGGTAACACAGAGCAGTTTATATCCTGTGGTTACGCTGTACAGGCCGACGATTGCATGTGTCAGTACAAAGATCAGTAGATATTGTTTGTGGAATGCCTGCAAGCTATGCATCCCACAGTACTTGCATCGAGTACCATGCCTACGAGTGTCAGACTTAATGATGCGAAAATACAGTCTTGTAAAACTGCGTGTAGAAATTACGTTTTTGAAGAGTTTGAAGGTAATATAACAACGTTGTACCGACTATAAAACTTGTTATTATCATAGGCTGTTAAATGTTTACGAGAAACCACCATGTGGTAAATAATTTTTTTATTATGCAATGTGATAACGTTATTAATAAAATGTACGATTACTGAAAAGAACGAGTCAGCGGGTCGAGGGTTTGAAACCACTTGGCTACGTGGTGCTGAAACTTAGCATAGAAAGTATGCAGCGTTTGTATTTTTGGGGGAGGGGGTCAATGTGGAAAGAACAGCATAGCAACCACGCGAAATCTCAATTAAAAATTTATGTTATGATTTGATGTTATTAAATAATTCGTCATTGAGCAAAGCACGTGAAATTTTTGGATGGAGATACGTCATTATTAAACCAACAATAATTTATTTATATTGTTACAAATAAGACGGCATCCTTGATGTTACAGCGTATCTGGGAAAATTAATAAAATGAGAATCTGTAGTAGTTGAAATTATGAATATGATGAGTCATTAGTTTAGTTTTCCCACAACTTGTCTTCTTGGTTTTTTTGTCTGTTAGCATTGCATCATCATCATCATCAGTTTTTAATTAAATGGTTGACTGGTTTCCCTTGGAGGCTACCATTCATGTTAACACGGATATCTACAGTAACGAATAATGACAAGCACTTATTAGTTCGAAACTTCATACATGGCTTATCACGCCGGAAGGAACTTGAATTGAATTCATGAGATTCGCACAGCGAAGTTATGACAGAAAGATCACCCCGGATTATGGCAAAATTTACCTGTAAGCTGTTAATGCCTTTAGTAATGTCGTTTTAACGTCAGAGTTTTTGTACGTGCAAAGTATTTTAAGTTTAATAGCACGTTTTTGTTGAAAATTCGGCTACCTCAGTTATTAGTTCGAAATATTATTTAAAACAATAATTACAAGTTTTTTATTTGGATAAATTAACAGGAGGAGAGAATTTTATAATGAGATATTTCATAATTTGTACTCTTTACAAGACGTAATTAGTGTCATAGAATCAAACAAGTTGGGCTGGACGGGACATGTAGAGCGCATTGGAGAGATGAGAATCTCGTAAAGGGTTTTGATCTGATAACTCTGAGGGAGAAAACCAATTGGAAGACGTAGGAAAAATGAGAGAATAATATTAAAACGGATGTTAAATAAATAGGATAAGAGGATTGGGATTGGATTTCTCTGGCTTAGGATAGGGACTGGTGGCGGGCTGTTCTGAAGACGGTAATGATCCTGTATATTTCATAAAGGGATGGGGGAATTTGACTAACTGAGCGACTTTTAACTTCCCAGGAAGTTAGTTTGTGTACGTGGAAGAAAGAATCATTTTCAGGCTATTAAACATGCAATATTATTATTATTTATTTGACTGCAAATGGGTTTTTACCCGGTGGCAGTGGTCCTACAATAAGACACAACAAAACATAAGACAACAAAAACAATAACAACAGAAAAATAACACAAAAAAACATAAGACAACAAAAACAATAACAATAAGAAACAACAGAACAATGAGACACAACAAAACAGTAAGACAAAAAAGACATGACACAACAAAAACAATGAGACACAAAAAAACATAAGGCACAACAAGAACAATAAGACACAACAAAAGAACACACCACACTCAAAATAAAACAACTCATAATATTACAAAACCATATAACCTAAAGTACATAACTTAAAAATTAATACCAACCAATATGTGTTGCATTATAGTAATTTTCCACGGTCATGTTATGAAACGCACACATGCCACCAATAGTGTTTGCGGAACTCGATATGTGTTCATAATACGCAACAGCAAACACTGTAACATATTACATTAACGTTTTATACGTTTACGATTCTGTTCTATACACGCGTCTTTGCTTGTGTACTCAGGCTTTGTGATGTATTTATAGTAGCTCACCTCATCAGCAAATGCTTCCTTGAGTCATGTTATTATCCACGCAAATAAATCCATACAAACCTTACGAATCCCGTGACATTCGAGTTCAAACACTTCGTTGTTACGTTAGTACGGTACCTTTAACACTTCTAAACTGATGATCATGTAAATAATATTTAAGAGTTCAGTCCGTACCGCAAAGAAATCACAACACTTTACCATTGCAATGATCAACTAGTTAATGCTGTTTATGGAAAAATCGCTGTTTACAGTGATATTCATATGAAACACAAAAATACACTGTTTTCGAAGGACAGTCAGTGAATTTTAAAGTAAATGGTACATACAGGAACAACTAAGCTTTAAAGGGCGAAGAACTTGTTAGAGACTGTATCTGAAAAATGTAGCAGATACTGCAGGAAAGGAAATTGTTAGGGATTCAGACTCCACAGGATTATTCAGTTGAGTTTAATAACTACTTACTTTTGATTTGATCTAAGATTTAGGATTCAGAAAGGATATTGATGTAGACTGTGTGACCATATCACAGCTGGCTAACTAACAACTCAACTCCAGAATTCTCAGCTAACCATTTCCCTGCACTTAACCAAGTTGAATTTTGATATTATCTGTCTGCGTCTAGGTCTTGCAAGTTGCTTCTTCCCTTCAGGTTTTTCTACCAAAGTTTTGTACCGTCCGCATGCTTGCTTTATGTTCCGTTTTTTTCTACCAAAGTTTTGTACGTATTTATCACCGTCCGCATGCTTGCTTTATGTTCCGTCCGTATTATCCTTCGTGATTTGATCTTCTTAATAATTGTTGGTGAAGACTGCAAATTATGAAGCTCGTTGTTATGTAGTTTTATCCACCAGGAGAAAGTCTCATATTGGGCAAGTTCCAGATCTGCTGCTAAAAATGATGCATATTATAGGACATTTTCCTTCATCTTCGTTTGAAAAGCCACCGGGTCCCCACGGATTCTTATAATCATCTGGTATCGTCAGGTGATACACCGGTAAAACGTGACTTTTATTGCGAGTCAGACAGTGATGAGCTGTGATTGGATAGATGATTAATTAATGACTTTTGTACCTTTGGTTAGAATAAATAACACCGTTTCTGTGTTTTATTTTTGCAGAGTCCTACGTTGGTGTTGCTTGCAGCAAGTTTCCTTCCCGCTTGGCGACCTTCACTGTTGCTGGTGGCAGCTTTGGCGGAATATCATCACGATTAGCGGGGCCAAGCCGTGCGGTGAAACGCCGTCAGAATCAACGCTCCACAGTAATCTCATGAGTCTGCCATTCCCGCAGCTGCTCAGAATTGGTCGCGCTCCAAGGAAAAAGGGCTAACCACCCCTCGATCGGCCGAAACTTCTGTTAGTCCATAATTAGTGGAATAGCCGCGAAACATCCAGAACTTGACAACTATTTGATCTCTGACCTCTGTGAAACTAGACTTCTGTGAAAAGTCAGCAATGAGTGGTCAGCAACCGAGGAAATTGTCCTTAATGGACGAGAAGCGAAGGAATTCCTCCGCGTTGCAAAACATGCTCAGGAAGGCGTCTTTGTTTAAGGAGGGCGGAAGGAGGAGTTCGGTTCTGTCAGAGGATCGACCCAGGAGACTTTCTCTTCTACGGCCACTGCGGAGGAACAGTGAGGTAAGTGCGAAATATGTCGAAGTGTTCAGATGG